CAATAGTTCTCTCGTATTACGAGCAAGACGAGCTAGTTTGGAAAATACCAGACCAGAAATACGTCCACTTCTGATATCCTTCAACATGCGTTGTGTTTCTGGATGCTCCATCACTGTCTTGCCGGAAATGGCATCTAACCGATAAACCTCCGCAACGTCCCAGTCTTTAGCTTTCGTATAATATCTTGCACGCTGCTCGTGGTGTTCCGGGCTTTCATCTTGAACTTGAAAATCGGTAGATACCCTTATCCATATTCCAACTCTTTTCGTTACCATAGCAATATAATTTTCTAATTAAAATAACGACTGTTTCTCTGTAAAATTTTGTAAGCAGTAAGTTGTTTTCTATCAAATAATTGGGATTGTGCAATTCCCAAACAACTGAGATACAATGACGTTATTTACCTTACGACGATATATGTCAACAAGACACTAATCTCGTTTTTATATCCATGTATCTTACTCTCAATCAAACAGAAGAATTACATTCTTTAGTTACGTGAATTTATGAAAAATTTTTAATGGGAGCAATAGTTTCCTTTATCAGTGGCAATAAAATGCGCTGCTTTTTGATATTGGTTTTAGTGGTAAGTACAGTTGATTTTTGATTCCAAATTTTAAACGCTGAAGTGTTTTTTTGGCTGACTCTATTGTATTGTTCCCCTTTTATTGGTGGATCAAGCTCTAGTTCAAATTGCCGACCAACTAAATTTGCTGTGACAATTGCGTTATAATTTACGATTGCCCATCTGTTAATTCTGAAAAATAAATCTTTAGGTAATTGACTTTCCAAATAGTCCAATGACTCATTACAAGCAAGTGGATTCAAATTTCCATCAGCAACAATAAAATTGCAGTCATTGGAATGAAAAATGTAACGAATTTGATCGAGTGGAACTGTAATCGCCTTACTTATCTTAATTTCGGCAGGAACGTCTATTAGCTCGTGATCGGTGATTTCTGTCCCAATCACTTCAATTATTCCACCTTTTGATTCCTTCAAAAAGTGGTAATAAATTACGTAAAGCAAATTTAAGCAGAATATTAAAGCCATTATAAAAGGTAAATCATAATGGATGTAGGTTGTACTAAGAATATTTTTACCCCGGCTAAAAAAATAAACGGCTGCTAGAAGAAATGCAGTTAGACTCACAGGTAGGAAACCAAATAGAAATTGAACTCCTGTGCGATGAAGGATATTGGTTTTTAATGGTAATCTAACATTCAAAAAAGCAGATATTCGATATACAATTTCAATTAAAAGATAAGCGATCAATAAACTGCCTGGCACTGCCGCCCAATAAGCGGGATCAACTAACAATTCATAAGAAGACTTTTCTTCGCCATAAACTAATATGATATGTGTTATTAGAATCGAAGCTAATAGGCGTAAAATAAAATGGTCGAAATCGGCCCTGGTAAAGAACCTTTCTCTTGGAGGTGAATTCATAAACAATAACGTAAGAGCATGTTGTAACACTCTAATATAGATATTTTAATACTATAAATCAAATTACTTCCTTAATATCAGTGAAATACTAAATTGAAATTTTATAAACTCATCTTAAATTGGAAAAGTAAAAAGACTATTTCCTTGGCAAGTTAAAATATGATTTTCTCATCATGCTTTCAACTATACTACGTTTAATTTTAGCCTCTTCATCTGACATTTGCACCAGCGTTATTGTAATCATATAGGTCTTTGTAGGTTTATCTAAGACTAAAGCCTTTTTCCCACGTAAGCCTTCACCCTTGAAAAGTTCTATTGTTTTTTTGAATGTAAAGTCTTTTGCAGACTTAATTTGACTCTGCTCATTGTCAAAA